TTCTGTCCCATAGCAACACGCCTTTATCAGTAACTCGTCTGAATGGTCTTTTGAAACCAGAAAAACACACACATGCTCATACTTTCTGGATTCAAGAAAGGTTGGCATGCTTAAATACCTCCTCAAAGGTCCTTTGACATGATTTAAATAAAAGAATCTGTTAGGGAGGCTGTAATTATGTCAGAATGACATTGATTTAGGAGTGATTCGGCGCTGCCAGGTTTAGCCAGCGCTTTCTCTGGGTTTTTGGAACTTACTTCCTCCTGTCATTGAAAAAGCCTGGCTTGTCAGCCTGCACTATGACAACATCAAACAGGTCCCGCCAGTCTTTACCAACGATGTAGTTCATGCCTCGATCTCTACAATAAAGACATTTTATTTGAAAAGAGCATTTCATATGAGCAGTTAATCAGAATGGCTTTGTAGAAATTCTAAGTAAGGTGTGCATTTTTTTTAATGTGCATTGATGTTTATTTTGACTTTCAATTTAGTATCTTGTTTGCACTTACACAAAATCAAAAGGGCTGTTTGTAATCAAAAACATCTTCTTCCCGTTCTTAGACAGCTTCTGTAAAACAGCATGTGTCTGTTCACCGTAACAGATGTACTTCTCTGCAGAAAGGAAAGGTGTGATTTGAACTGATAATTACAAAAGAGGGGGAGTGAGAGGTACACATACATACATCATATTAAATACTATAAAAATAACAATAATAATAATAATTGTTGTTAATTATAAAATAGATTAAATATAAATATTATTATATTTCATTATTGTACATAAATATATTACATTTTATACTACATATTACAGTACATATTTATTATTAATACAATTAAATACTATTTATTATATTTATAATATAACAATCATAATTATTATGAATAAAATAGACTAAGCATAAATGCAATTATTATTATTATAAGTATAATTATTAATATTACTGTAAATCAATATATATTATTAAATTTTAAATGGTATGCTACAGTACAGTTGTTATTATTATTATTATAGATTATTTATTATTTATCAATTGTTTATGATAATAATACTAATCGTTAATAAAATAGATTTAATATAAATACAATAAAATAAAATTAATATTATTTGATCATTGAATTTCTATATATTATTATGCTTTATATCGTGTATTACAGTATACTATTCTTATTATTATATTTAATTTTTGCATATTAATATACACTGAACAAAATTATAAATGCAACACTTTTGTTTTTGCCCCCATTTTTCCTTTTGTGTACATAGAAAAAGTCTTAGATCTTTGAGTTCAGCTCATGAAAAATGGGGGCAAAAACAAAAGTGTTGCGTTTATAATTTTGTTCAGTGTATTATACATTTTTATACAGTACTTTACAACACATATTTATTGTCATTATTATACAATTCCCATGACTATGTCATGTTATAACTTTGATTTGTTCAAATGTGTTCAGATCTCTCAAGCTTTAATGAGGTCTGCATGCATGTCCAGGTAAGAACTCTGAAAATTACCGATATCAGCCTCTACCGCTCGATACATAATCCCTCTGACATGGACATCTCCTATGGCCTCCTGGGAATAGAGAAACAGACCAGATGCAGAACATCAAAGCCAATGTAACATCAATGTTCTGCACTAAAACAACACACAAAGCCCTGACGCACTGCCAGACACCTCCTGTGAGAACTCTAAGTCATTTCATCTGGGCACAGTCACATGTCCTTTGAGACTTGTTAATTCATAATTATGGGCAGGACTAAATGTAAGAGCAATGGTGTGCGTCTTTTAGTAATTACACTGATCTTCAGACCCAATAAAAGACATTTGACCATCTGTAACCCTGCTTCTCTCCAGGCACGTAGCACAGATGGCGCATCCAAACAGTTCCTCTAAAATTAGACTGTTCCTTTCAATGCCGCTCACTATGAACTTAAATAGCACCTTCAGGAGCCATATTTATCCAAAATGTGAGCTCAAGAGATCCTGTGCTTTCTGACATCTGTGGTACCCTAAATACAACAGCACTCGGTTTCCGTAGAAACTGATATTGGTGAAGGAAATCTTGATTTTTGAATCATAAGGTGAGTTCTGCTCTGACACATAACACGCTTGGAGGAACAACTGTACCTTGACGTCTTTATAAAGATGAACAGGCTCATAGTCGATGTTGTGCTTCATGAAGTAGTCATTAACGCATGATAGCAGCGTCATTTCTGGCAGGGAGAAGATATCCATGAACTGCTTCATGGTGTGACCGTGAGAGCTCTATACGGACAGATTGAAAAAGCTGTTTTAAGGGTGGTCACATTTACTGATGTTCAGCAAATTTTCATGGCGAAATCCAGTCATTTCAATAGGAATGCATGCAATTGTGAATTTCACATTAAGGCAAAAGATTTGTCCTAGCAGATTTCGTAATGCATTCAAGTTGGTCATGCCAATTCACTCTGTTGACCAACAGAAAGCTGCTCGATTTGAAAGTGACTTCTGTGTGAGCTGTGCTTCTTACATCGCTACACTATTTTTCATGCTAAATGTTGTCAAAATGTTGCTAATGTGACCACATTTTTAGGCTCTCAAACAAAACTCTTGACAAGCAAAAGACTTCAAGCTTTCAGACCTTGCCATAGAAGTCACTCATGATCTCGAGGGGTACATGGGAGCCCTCGTACATCGCAATGACCTCCTTTTCTGGCACAGGATTAAGACCCCTATAGAAACATTCAAATGACAATAAGAGAACCTATCCTTCCTGATATTAATAATAATGCATAAAATAGTAAAAAATATTATTGTAGATTGTTTGTTGCACTCTACCTGTACACTGTACCCAGCTGGATATAATGAAAGGCATCAATCTTCATCAGTAAGGCCTAGTAAGCAGAGGAAATTGACAGGTTAGCCAAAACCCATGAAAAATGCATCTACAGTAGATCAGGACTGGACACCTACCTTCTGTACATCATAGTGCAGACCACGAATCACAAAATTCGGCATATAATCATATTCCTTCAGTCCCTCGGGATACTGTTATGGGGACAGAAAGAGACAAGATATTCAGAAAACATTAATTTGCTGAAACTAAAAATATCCTGGTTTTAAGGGTGTAATTTCTGTGCCACTTTTGATGGATTTCATCATTCTTACAATATTATATATACATAAATGAGGTCTTGGGTCACTCACCCTGTGCTCATCGATGAGGATGTCTCGGGCGATGTTGAATATGAGTGTGTGAAGGTGACTGGAGTAGAATGCCAGTGTGTAATCATAGTCAAAGCCATAGATCTCAATGTCCTGCAGACTCATCTGATTATTAGCAAAGATGGTGTCTGGGTTCACAAAGTTGTTTGATATGACAGGAATTAAATCTGTGGGGGAAAAAACATTTGTGTGTTAATAAATAATTAACCCTTTAAGTTCACATTTTTATTATATTTGCTAAGTTATAATAAATATAATAGTTCAAAATGGAACTAAAATGATTACTGATGAACCTGTAGTGAGACATTAATTATGAAAAGTAAATCTTAGTATGTGAATATTCCTGCATGTTTTTTCCAGTATTATTGTTAACTAAAACGAAAACTACTTAAAATATTTGTATTAATTAAATTAATAAAAATATTAAAATAAAGCTGAAACAAAATAAAATACAAATATTACATGAAAATGTAAATTTAATTAAAAAGCTTCCTTGGAATCTAACTTAAATAAATTAAGTTATAGTTGAAATTCTAAAATTTGAAACTGAAATAAAAATGTATTCAAGCTACATGGACATTTAGATATAATGATAATCATAAAACATTACTAAAATGACTTAAAATCACATAACATTACTAAAACGTAAAATAAAAAGAATTTTAAATATATTGATAAATACTACAATAGTATGTTAATATAATAATAACATTTGGTACTAATGACTTAATTTTATAGTCCGGGCAGCTCTCTCTTTATAAAATTTTATATTATTATGCAGGTACACAAATGTATTACAAACAATTATAGATGTGAATAAAAACGTATTATAAAAAATTGGTTCTCAAGTACATAAATGTATTATATTCATACAACAGCATGATGTCCAATCACAACATAAGAGTATTCAGCATATCACTTTAATAAATAACTAAAATCTTACAGCCTATATAATATAATACAGCCTAATGTAGGTTAATACTAGGACAAAGAAAAAAATAGAAAAAAAGTATTCATGGATGGTCAATATACAACATTAAAAATGCCTTCTTGCCCTCTGACAGACGACCAGCGTCTTGAGAGGAATTTCTATAACATGAATCTAAACTAACCTTGCGTTTGCTGTTTGGTTTCATTGTAAACAGACCAGAGCCAGCTGGTCTTGTCCTCACTGGAGCTGGTGCACATGTCCCCTGCTGTCAGCTGTCCCACAGGAACCTGTCTCCGGGACACGAGAGCAGATTTCGGTCCCCGGGAGCTCGAGATCCACTGCGAGCTGGTGTTGACCGTCCATATTCCTCTTCTAGTGTGCAAATACTTAAAGTGCGCGATCAGCCTCTTAAAACGCTCCTTATTTCTAAGCAGGTTTGAAAGTGGCAAGGACAAGGTCGGCATATTTCCCCACCAGAGCTGCCTTCTGTTTGACAGACGAGTGCGTTCAGCTATACATTCTCTACAATAGTCTCAAATATACACATGCTTACTTCCGTTTGCACGTTGACAGGTATTTTCATAATAAAAGTCCAGAGTAACAAAAATAGCAACTATTAAAAAAATTCAGAGATGAAAACCCAGAGAACAGTAATATTTTTAATAATTATCTAATTTATTTCCCCCCTTAAATTAAGTAATAAAAGATCTGGTAAGAGAAATTCTGAATAAAGCTATAATACGCAAAAACTGAAAATTGACATAAATAACTGTCACAGAGTGTTGAGTTACAAAGTATTTTATATGACAAATGAAGATACATTACATGTTTGTATAAATAGCTTTATTTATTCACAGAATAAAATGAATTTTGTATAATCAGTTAGGCTTTGCATGTTAGTTAAGAAAAACAAATCAACGGGTCATTGTTTCGGAGACGCTAAGTCTGTCTGTCCTTCTTTCAAGCCAAGAAGTTCTGTTTGCAGTTCTCCAGGCTTTGGTGGGACATCTGGAATGGTCTATAATGTAAGAAAAGAAGAAAAAAAAACATTGTTTATGCTGTACTTAATGTTTACAGTCAACATGACTGTAAATGTACTCAATTTGCTTTCAAAATGCACATTTCTGGACTTATTGAGAACAATACATTGGTGCATGTAATTCAATGGATCTATCAATAAATTAAAAAAATAAAACCTCTAAAGTTAAATTACAGAAATAAAATGGGTTGAAAATTGCAATTTACATTTACAGATAAATATCTAGGTTGCACAAACACCTAAACAAATAATAAAAAGCACAAAATCTGATTTGGAAACTTACTAAATCAGGACGGTAATACTGATGCACAGCCTGTGCTCCAGCAAACATTGACAACACACTGGCTGCAAACATCCGTAAATATCTTGGCCACGATACACCTGCTGGCATCCTTAAAACCCAGCTGGCTGACAAATGTTCTGCCAATTAAATTAAATAATTTTTTACCTAAAGAAAGAAAAAAGTTATAATTGCCCTTCTAATTGCTCTGTTAATGTTTAAATAGAAAGGAAATGTTGGGTAATGTTAACCCATTACCAACAATTCAATTATTTAATGACTATTTTAAATAACAACAACAAATATTATTAGATTATTCATAAAATTATATCAAAAGGACAATAATAACAAAAAGTCATTACTATTTTCATGTTTAAATCAACACAGCTAGTCTAAATACACAGTTTCATATAGGTCAATCAAAGCTTATTTAAATGCAACTCAAAAAACTAAATAATAAACACTTAAGCATTTTATGTGACATAGATAAGTATTTTATCAGTCAGTTTAATCACTTTTTGCTATAAGGTCATTTTATCACTGCTAGCTATCTTAAACGTAGCGGCAAATTAAGCATATGTGCTATTATATAAAAACAGTATTATAATTCCCACATTAAGCAGGATCAAATCTGGAGAGGCATATACTAACTTTGTTATGTTATAATCAGGTTATAATCGAAAGAACATTACAGGTTTCGTTGCACGACATTCAGCAGTTCTTGTTACAGTCAGTTCTTGTTCACATGTTCGCTTTGGAACTCTGTAAATCACTTTTATCATAGGGACCACAACAATGAATGGTTTGCCCTAATTTCACTAAGCAATTGATGGAAAGAAATGAAACCGATAAAACTCAAACATTATTAAAACTTAATTGAACACTGGTAATTTTCTGCACACCATAAAATGCGTTTTATATAAATGTATGAAGAGAAAAACGTGACCTCCCTTTTGTAATAATGGTTGAGTCCAACAATGTGAAATCAGCCATTAGAAAAACTAACGGTTAAAAGTATAGAAGTATGGATTCAAGTTCGGCACGAATGGTAGCTCGTTTTAATGTTTTAAAATGTTATTTTTTTTTACTAGTTGTCTGTAATAAATAGATAAAATGAAAAGCGTTAAATCCAAAAACTATGTAACTGTATCGTTCTATCATGCATTAAATTAGGGACTTTTATTTTGAACTTGGCCTTTACCTTTGTTGACATTTTTACCTACAGCGGCTTCATTCATCATGTGTAGCATCATTTAGCTCATACTTTTCTGCACTAAATACTGGTATGTGTCAGAAAAGGTCTGAAGAATATGTATGGCAGGTAAGATTCATAATCCTAACGCAGAGAAATATACCTGTATGTGACGAAACGAGTGATTTTAATGCTTGTATTCGGTCAGTGGTCCACAAACAGCTCTTAGCTTATTGAGTGTAATGAGCTAGTTCGCTGCATACCACAGTGTTGCTCATGACAGGTTGAATAGTCTTTGAAATGTGTATGCTTCTAGATAAAATTAGTATGTCATATTATCCCGTGACGTTTAATTGATAAGCTAAGCATAATAGGACCGATGTAAAATAAGAGATTAAACAAAGGGAGGTGTGGTTTACCAGCTGGCATATCAGTAACATAAACATGAATATTAATCTATTAAAGTAAGACCACCAATTAAGATGGAAGAAAGGCAGTATTCATCTCTGACGGCCCCTATGGATTATCTTCAGTACTGGTGAGTTTGCCCAGCCCGAAAAAATCAACCAAAGAGTTGCTTTCTTAAATGTTTTAAATAAATGAGAGATTTGTATACTGTGATTGCAACAAATGCTCTCAAAATGGTATATGAAGGTGTATGTTAAATGTGTGAACACTGACAATGAGATCAGATTATTACCATAGCTTTTGAAGTAAGTGCAGTGTCTTTGTAATTTTGTTTTCTCAGGTACCAAACCAATCCTCAGCAGTACCAGGCAGAGCAGGTGCCGCAGCACCAACAGATGATTAATGCCGCCCAATACGCAGAGAGACCTGTGGAGGACAAAATCATGACTGATTTAGCAGTGCATCAAGATCCATATCTGGAACAACCTCAACAGCCTCAGCAACTCTCTGCCCAACCACCAGGTACAACCTTTTCCATCCTCACAGTGCGTCTAACTGGGATGTTTCTGCAACTTATTAAACATCTGGTTTGCAGCCATTCCAATGACTCCAGCAAAAGGAAAGAAAAGGGGAAGGCCTCTAAAAGGTGAAGGAAAGGAAAAGACAGAAGCTGAAGAGTCTGCCAAGAAAGCGAAGAGGATGTTAAATCGGTTCAACGGGATGTCCGTGGAGGAAGTCATGGCTAGAAAGCTGCCAGACGTCATCACACATAATCTTGACATGCTGATTGTAAGATTCCGTTTTGTATAGTCAGCAAAGTTTTTTTTATTGATATATTAATAAATTATATGAATTTTAATATTGATATAAATTAATAAATATGAATAAATTATATCATTAATATTTATTATATATATATTTATTGTATGACATTTTTATGCAAATTTGTATATATTTATATTTATCTGTTGGTTGGTTTGTATAAACTCATTGCTAATTTTACAGATCGGCATCAATCCTGGACTGTTGTCAGCCTACAAGGGAAGGCATTATCCAAATCCTGGGAACCATTTTTGTATGTATTATTCAGCTGATTTCTTTTTTGTGAAGAATATTTATGTTTGTCTTATTGTTTGTTGAATGTCTCATAGGGAAGTGCTTATTTCTTTCCGGGCTGACTGATGAACAGCTCAACCACATGCACGATCAGACACTACCTGAACGGTATGGCATTGGTTTCACCAATATGGTGGAGAGGACTACACCTGGGAGTAAAGACCTATCAAAGTAAGAGCTTAACATTTACATTATCCCTGTAAAAGGTGTGGTTATATTAATGGTTGTTCTGCAAGTTTCGCAGATGAAATTCAGTCATTTTGTGCGAGGACGTAACAGGTTCAAACTGCTTAGTTTGAAAGTGATTTTCTGTGTGAACAAAGCTTCATTTTTTAATACACCACTGACAATAGACAATGGACCTTTTTGGAAAGTTTGAAACAATGGAAATTTTGCAGACATTTCGCTAATGTGACCGCACCTAAAAATCAGCTTCATGTCCTAATTTGATGTTTAGTCTCAACAAGATGCTTGATGTGAATACATGTGAAGATTTTGAGTGTTGGTTTGCAGCAAAGAGATCCGTGAAGGTGGCCACCAGCTTTTGGAAAAGCTCCAGAAATACAGACCTTTAATCGCTGTGTTCAATGGAAAATGTAAGTCATTGATTTGCTATCGATTTAAGTCTAAACTCTTATTTATGATGCAAGTTAATCCCATTTGATATTTCAGGTATTTATGAAATATTTTGCAAGGAGATTTTTGGAGTAAAGGCTAAGAACTTAGAGTTCGGATTGCAGCCTTACAAAGTCCCAGAAACGGAGACGGTACGATTATCTTTGTTGATAGTTTAATGCTCCTGTTCATAGTTGCATATTGATTAGATATGAGCTTCTGTTGTCCAGGTTTGCTATCTGATGCCATCATCAAGCCCACGCTGTTCCCATTTTCCTCGTGCTCAGGACAAAGTGCACTTCTTCATCAAGTTAAAAGAGCTCAGGGATCAAATGAAGGGAGTGGTGAGGACTCAAGAGGTCCAAGAGACAACCTACACATTTGATCGGACTCTGGCCAAAGGTGAAGAGATTCACAATTGAAGACAGTTTTTGTGTTGTTAGAAAATATATGTTGTTAACCGACGTACTTTGTCATTGTTTATTCTAGAGGATGCCAAAAAATTGGCAATCAAAGAAGAGCAGCATGACCCTGAGTATGAGGAGACCTGTGCCCATGGATCACAAAGAGAACCACAGCAAGCATTTGGGGTCCATCCTTCTACAAATATGGGTATACAAATATTGTGTACAGAAAGAATATGAACAATTTACAGTTTTTATGTGTCAGGTGCTTGTAATAATGGTCAAAACTCTCTAGACCAGGTATCGGACAACTGGTGGACAATGCAGCCGTTTGCAGACCAGATTCCAGACATCAGATGTAGCAACAACAACTGAACAGCCTGAGAAAAGTTGTATGTACTGAGAAGGACCAACTAAAAAAATTTTTTTTTAATTGTTTTGTTTAATATTTTAAATGTTTTGGCTGTTTCTGAGTGATTGATTCTGAGTTGTTACCCAAATAATTTAATGTATGTGATTTGTGTGTGTGTGTGTAACAAAGATTTGTTAACTTGACTGACCATGAAACATGAGACTTTCAGATTGAGACATTTGTTAATCTTGTGCCTCTGTTTTGATCCTTTTAAGGAAACTTCAGTCATACACTACCGTTCAAAGGTTTGGGGTTAGTAAGATTTTTTTTTTCTTAAAGAACTTAATCCTTTTATTCAGCAAGTATGCATTCATTTGATTTAAAAGTGACAGTAAAGACATGTATAATGTTAAAAAGATTTCTATTTCAAATGCTGTTTCTGATTGATTCTGAGTTGTTACCCAAATAATTTAATGTATGTGATTTGTGTGTGTGTGTAACAAAGATTTGTTAACTTGACTGACCATGAAACATGAGACTTTCAGATTGAGACATTTGTTAATCTTGTGCCTCTGTTTTTATCCTTTTAAGGAAACTTCAGTCATACACTACCGTTCAAAGGTTTGGGGTTAGTAAGATTTTTTTTTTCTTAAAGAACTTAATCCTTTTATTCAGCAAGTATGCATTCATTTGATTTAAAAGTGACAGTAAAGACATGTATAATGTTAAAAAGATTTCTATTTCAAATAAATGCTGAACACAAATGTTAAGCAGCACTGTTTTTTCACTGTTTGTCTACATTGATAATAATAGGAAATATTACTTGAGCAGCAGATCAGCATATTAGAATGATTTCTGAAGGATCATGTGACACTGAAGACGGGAGTAATGATGCTGAAAATTCAGCTTTGCATCACTGTAATAAATTACGTTTTAAAATATATTCAAATAGAAAACAGTTATTTTAAATTGTAATAATATTTCACAATATTACTGTTTTTACTGTATTTTGGGTCAAACAAATGCAGCCTTGGTGAGCATAAGGGACTTCTTTAAAAAAAATAGTCTTATTCAAACTTTTGAACAGTAATGTATGTTAACTCTTTTTGTTTAAATAGTTTCCATTTACTGAAGTTATTTTGTGATTGTGGGGATTATTTGACACTCACATATTTCAATGAGTATTTCAGTGGAGCAAATTCCTAATGCAAACCACAGCTGGACTCTGGCAGAGGTTTATCACTGTGTGCATGTGCATGGATTTATAGTAGTATTGCAGATGGCATGCTCAGTCCCGCCTTATGGTGCTTATTGAATACAGATCACTCAATTTACCTCATTTTGAATGCTGTTTTTAGACTTTTTAGAATTTTGTTATTTTGCAATCAGTGTGCATAACTGTTTAGTTCCATTTATACCTGTTTTGTTACATCATCATAATCCAGCTTCATTTTTGCTGTAAAAATTATGTACTATGTTTGTCATTTTGTACGCTGTGTTTTATTTTTTATATGTATCTATGTATTACTAATGGAACGGTTTAAGGGCCAAATAAAAGCAATATTAAAAAAGCCATGTGTATTAGTTATTGTCACAGTTAAAATTAAAACACAAAACTTTATAATATGTCTGAAATAAAAGCCGCGATAATCTTCGTTGTTGAGAAATCAAAAAAGAAAAATGTTTTGCGTTAATTTACAGAAATACCAGGTGCAAGTGGCCACACAGAACTTTATACTTAAAAGCTTTATTTTGACATGCTAAACGGGAAACGGGCATTTCTTATTTATTGAAGCGCAGCCAATAGAAAGCACGCTTTGAAGAGTTTAAATGTCACAGGAGACGAAGGTCATACTATTAACTTAAGAGGGGTGCAGTTTTTCCATCACCATTCTGAAATTAAGATAAAACTAAAAGCCTGCAATACGTTTTTAGTTTTTACATTAGATATAGTTGTGGTAAAACTTAAATTATGATTTCTTTGTTTTTATTTTTACATTTAACGGAAGAAAAAGGCATACTGTGCCCACCACACCCCTAGTATTGGTGCTTTGGTACGCTCCACTGTCAAATCGATTTCTCGCTGTTGGTCTCATCTTTGTTGCTTTCACCGGTTTTGTTCCTAAAACGAGAAAAATCAACATTCCAGTGGACTATCGTTCTAATCATATCACAACGGTATGTATTCATTTAACAAATAAGAGCTTGATTTGATTAATAACACTATGGACATGCATTTTATGTCGATAGAAGCGCGCTGCACAGTTAGCTAGCGACCAGCATTCATTGTACTCAATGAATTAGCACACTAGGCCAATGTTAGCCGAACATGCTAACACTAGCACATATGTTGTTGTTTTTTTTTGTTTATGAAAAAAAAAGGATCTTAGCCCTTTACCTGCATTTGTCCTGCTGAGTTAATAAGTAATTACTCAATTTAGTTTAGTTCGCTGAGTACCGCAGTTTAAACTACCGACTGTGGCAAAATAGTAACTTAGTGTGGAATGTGTGTTTAAAATCCAGCACACCGAACCTTTTCTGATCTGGTTTATACACTTTAGCCAGACCCGGCTGGATATGTTTCGATATTCACTAGATTTAGGAATGCATTTATGTGTAATTGAACCTATTCATTATAGAACTATAAAATAATATATAAGTAAAAGTGTTGGTTCTAAATATTCCCCTGTGAGAATACCACTGAAATTGCTGTTGAAATGAACACAAATATTGATTTATTTAAGTAACGTTAAATCCCGTAGAGATGGATGAAAGGCTCTATGGATCTTTGCCTCATGCCCCCTCGGAATACCTCCAACAATGGTGAGTGTCCCCATATGTCGTCAATTGGCGCCAAGATGAATTACGATCCCACTGATTTTATTATGCTGTTATAATAACATTCAGCATTTAAGTCTGTTTTTGAATGCTACTAACTAGTCTGTACCGCCATGCACGAAATAAACAACAATAACAAGTTATTGTCCCGCTTACATGAAGAAGAAACTGCCTTGGTCTTGCCACTTGTGTTTGTTTTGAAAACTGATGTGTTCCTGCAATTATTAAATGTTCTTTTTACAGCAAAAAATAAGATCTGGGTTGCATTAATGACTTGACTTCTCAGATGATATAGTTTAACTCAATATCACTTTACGGAAGTTGCACCTGCTTTACATAAGACAATCTCCAATGTAAAGTAGATGCTGTTATTATGTTGAAGTGTCAGTTAACTGATGTGTAGATGTAATTTCTTGTTATTAAACTATATTTAATGTGTATTTTAATTGTATACATTTATTTTAGAAATATTACAAGTTTTATAGTAATTACGAAAATATTATAGTTTATAATTAACTATAAATAATACATAATTACTATTATTATGGCATTATATAAGCTTTGCAATCTAAATGGTTGCAAATGTTTTATGTTGGCCAACTGTTAAATGCTGAGTGTTTCTTGTTGAGTAAGACTTAAGTTTCTGTTAACTGACATGTAGAAATGTTTTCTAGTTATTAAACTATTATTTTAATAAAATAAAATAAATAGAAATACAAAAACCACTATTTTTAATATTTGTATATTAAATTTTAAAATCAATAATTTTAATTTTATAAATCAATTATGGTTTATCAACTATAATTAATAAATTATTATTATTATGCCATTATATTTATGCAAAGGTTTAAAATCAAAATGTTTGCAAATGTGTTTTCATCTTTGTTTTGTGCTGTCTAACTGTAAACTTCTAAGTGTTTCTTGTTAAATAAGACTTAAAGGCACAATATGTAAGATTTTTTTATTAGAATATCCAAAAACCACTAGAACAGTGTTATATATTTTGCTGACTTGTGTACTTACATTATCCCAAATGTTTCGAAGAATGTATAAATCCAGAGAAATAAGCAGTTTTAACTAGTGACACGGAGCGTGTCCATAGTGTCATTGTGTCGTCTGTCAATGACGTCATAACCCCTCGATTTCCGGTTTCATTTTGTAGAAAACATGGAAACACCAAAGACGCTTTAATATGTTGTGCGTTTTAATAGACCGGTGACGACCGCACAGAGTAGCATTATAACAGAACTTTCAAATGTATCTAGTATGATAAAACAGCGCTGCTTTTTGAACTAATCGTTGCCTGGGTTGCGTACGTATATGTGGGGCGGAGCTATCAAAATAGGGGCAAGACCCTTTTGGGGTAGGGGCGTGTTTGTTTTGGTGATTTCAAATATAAACATTGGCTACCAGAAATCCCTCACTCTGCCTTTAAGTGTCCGTTAACTGATATGTTAAAATTATTTGTAATTATTCAACTATATTTTTATTTTAGTTTTACATTTTCATTTTTATTTAAAACTATTGTAGTTATAAAATATTATATTTTTATAATTAACTATAATTAATACATAATTAATAATATTATCCCATTATATTTATGCAAAGGTAAAACTGCAATCTAAATAATCGCAAATGCATTTTCATCTTTTTGTATTATCTAACTGTTAAATGTTTTTCTTGTTGAGTGAAGGAATAATTATGCAAACAATACCATAAATAAGTTACTTTACCTGTAAACACCATTGTTTCCTGTTAAATGCTGTTAAATATGTGCTTTTAAGATAGGTGTTTTTCTACAGAAGTCTAAGAACTCAGTCAGGCCCTGTTTTATTTTTGAACTAGGGTTCAGTCAGCTCAGCAGCATCTGCAGGCCCTTCAGGCTCAGTATCCTCACATGGCTAATGGCAATGCTGGTTTTATGATGGAGAGACCCAGAGAAGATGGAGGCATGCAGCAGATGCCTGTACACCTAGAGGATGCCGCCCAACTGGAGCCTGCAGCTGCACAGAAAGGTAGTTATCTGTCAGGGCTCTACAGTGCGACCATTTCAGTCGCATTTGCGAGTAAAAGAAAAGTAAGCGTAGAGCCTTGTCTGTGTGTTTTCAAACATTCGAATTGAGCTCAGCAGGCTGAATATGTTCTCTCATGTAGCTTTTAGTGAGTCAGAGTGTTTTTTCCCTGTTTAAGCACCTGCTAAAGGAAAGCGAGGAAGGCCAGCGAGCAAAGAACCTAAAGCCAAAGGCGAACCTAAAGCCAAAGGCGAACCTAAAGCCAAACCGGGACCTAAACCCAAGAAAGCTAAGGAGGATAAGGAGGCCCCGCCAGCTGAAGGACAGGAGAAGATTGATGGAACATTCAAGAAAGTCAAGAGGAAAGTCGATCGCTTTAAGGGCATGTCAGAGGAGGAAGTCATGAAGAAAACACTGCCTGACATTCTTACCCCCAATCTGGACTATGTCATTGTAAGTTTTTATGGTTTTTGCCTGAAGTTGCCTTTTAACAATGAAGAATGTTAAAGCAAAGATGGCATTGAACTCATGACTGAAATCTTATTTTTATGATACAGATCGGAATTAATCCAGGGTTGATGGCGGCCTACGTTGGAAGATGGTTCCCTGGACCAGGAAACCATTTTTGTAAGTAGCCTTCAATTCTACTCATTTTTAACTTTAACATCACTGTTATGTTATGTTTTAATATAAAAGATATTCAACATTAAAACATTTTATTGTTGTTATTATATTGTTTATTTTATTTATATTATTGATATTATAAATATATTGTAGGGCTGTCAAATCGATTAATCGTGATTAATCGCATCCAAGATTTAAGAAATATATGAAATTTATATTTACATAATATAAATCATATATAAATATGATATAAATTTCTTAAATATATATATATATGTATTTATATACACAGTACACACACATATATCATGTAAACAAAAACTTTTTCTTGGATGCGATTAATCAATTTGACAGCCTTAATATATTGTCGTCTTTAATATATTAACAAAGTTGTTTACAAATATAAAAAGAGGTTATTATATATTAATAATATTATATAAATATTATAAAAAATAATATCAGTTTGCTTATTCATATTTTTAAAAGGAACAGTTCAAAACCGTTATGTTGACATTATTATGTTTCAGTATAAAGAGATATTTTATATTATATCTTTATTATTGTTAATAATATAACAACACTATTATTAATAATAATAATAATAATACATTCATTTAAAATGATTATATTAACATTTTAAAAAGTGGTTGTTTACCCAAATGTAAAAAGATTTTATGCTGTTGGAGTGAATATTAATATGATAATAATGTAAATACAGAAATATTCTAATATAAACAAAAATTTATTATAATGAATAATATATTTAAAAAATATTCTAATATAAAATAACATGTAACCCAAATAATTATATTGAACAATATATTTTTACAAATCTGTAATATGTTCATATAAAAAAAAAAATCAAAAAAATTGTTCAAAATCTCTAATCTTTCAATTATTAAACTATAATCGTTCTTGTCAATCTTTCAGGGAAGTGTCTGTTCCTGTCTGGATTCACAGAGAAGTTGCTAAATCACATGGATGATGAGAGCTTGCCTGAGAAATACAGCATCGGCTTCACAAATATGGTAGCTAGAGCGACACCGGGAAGCAAAGATCTCTCTAGGTGCAGTAGATAGTCATTCTATTCTCATTCATGACTGGAAGCGGTGATGTTCGTCTAACCTGTTTTGCCTGTCACGTTCTGCAGCAAGGAACTTCGAGAAGGTGGTAAAATCTTAGTGGAAAAGATCAAGGAATTCAAGCCACTCATAGCAGTTTTTAACGGGAAATGTAAGTATTCGAACACAGATACAGAATGAGAACTGATACGAAGGCGTGCATTTAACAATTACATTTGTTTCAGGTATATATGAAATGTTCTGTAGGGAGATATTTGGGAAGAAACCCAAAACACTTGAATTTGGCCTACAGCCTCACAAGATTCCTGACTCTGAGACGGTAAGAAACCATTTTTTGGTTAACTGTATGAAAAAAGCAAAACTGTCAGATTTGAGTCATAGGCTGCATATTACTGTTTTCTGTAGGCGTTGTACCTGATGCCGTCCTCCAGTGCCCGCTGTGCTCAGTTTCCTCGTGCTCAGGACAAAGTGCATTTTTACATCAAGCTGAGAGAGCTCCGAGATCAGCTGAAGGGTGTGATCAGACCAGTGGAGATAAAAGAAGTGAAATACATGTTTGATCTCGGCATGGCCAAAGGTACAAGCAGACCATTTATGATTGCCTTCCTTTTCTTAACCATAATATGAGTGATTACACAATTATGGACTGTACTTGACCACATTTGATTTTTCTTCTGTCTAACAGAGGATGCTAAGAGAATGGCCATCAAGGAAGAGCATTATGATCCTGGTTATGAGGCAGCTTTCGGAGGAGCTTATGGAGAACCGGCACCTGAAGGAGGCCAAAGCAATGGATATTGTAGCTTCTCCACATCTGAGAAAACAGGTTGGTACCATCTTTCTTCTGAAAAAGGTATTTCGAATTTTCGTTTTTTGTGTCCATACAATGAAAGTCAAAGGTCTTCGGATCCTATTGACAAGTTTAATATCATTTTTGTATTCAAACCTCCAGCTGACACAATTGAGAAGGCGCCTACGAATCCAAATGCGGTTGGCCAGGTTCAGGACGGTCAGTGGATGATGCAGTCTTTTGCCGATCAGATCCCAGACATCGGCGGCTCCTCTCAAGCCCAAAGCTGGGGTGTATGAGGAAGGACAAAGGCTTCAGACGAAGCCTGTCGGTTCCTGTGCTCTTCCAGAGATGCTGTGCCTCTTATCTTCCCAGAATCGAATCCAGGAGTCTTCAGGGGCATTGGTTTCTTTCTCCTTTGAGTTGCTGTGACAGTCTGTTACGTTACAATTTCAGGAACGATTTGAGGAATCGCAGTATCACACAAGGTGGCCCAACTTGCACAAGGAGAATCCAATGGCTGCTGTGCTTTTAAAGAAACTGTACCTCTGAACTTCAATTTGGGGGCCTTTGAAATCTCAAATACCTCTTTATTAAAGAAAAGAACAGTTTTTAGACCTTTTAGGAATTAGCATTTCTATGGAATTGGAGAATATACTCATCTTTTACTTTAATGGTTTAGAGTCATTGACGTTATTTTCAGTAGTTTAGTGTACGAGGTTCTGAGCACTGGTTTATTGCATTGTGTGATATCAGGGACTGATACTTGATTTTTTTTCATAAGGAGCGTTCACCATTTTTTCATTTGATATTTTTAGATGGGACGTATTATGTTTGCTTGTGTAGTTATATTTTAAGTGTAACTACCCACATTTTTCAAATCGTATTGCAAAATCTGTAAGGATAACCTTTAAGTAATGTTTTGTTACTATCATAATGTGACAAATGTTGTCTTTTTACATGGACGCTACAATGATGGTTTTAGGAACTTTTATGATGCCACTGCAAGACAAAGTTATAATTACTGGTGACCGTACATTTGAAATGTGTTGCTTATGAGGAAGCATCAGCATCACTGTTCACAACCATCTCTCCGCCTTCAGTACTGTAAAATACAATACGGTATGACTGGTAATACAAATGAACTAATCCTGAACATGACATAATTTATGGATTTATCGACATGCTCTTTCTTGGTGCTATTTTTACTCTTTCTGTAAAAATTTTTTGTTTTTTGTTCATTAAAATACAATTATGCTAATTTTTCCTTGTACATTCATTTCTATATTAGTATTCAGTATTATATATTAGTGAGAAGAGATTGTGAACTCTGGTAGAAAATGTTTAACTATATATTGCATATTTTTTTAAGGAGATTATAAATTGCTAAACCCAAGAATTCATCTGGCATTCATTTTGTAAATGATCTAACATCTTTAATTTAGAGGCAATAGAAGTATGTTAAGGTGGTGTGATTCTATAAAAATCATGATTCAAAAGGTTATCAAAACTTTTTTATTATTATTCAAAATAATTACACAGTGTATACAGGTGCATCTCAATAAATTAGAATGTCGTGGAAAAGTTCATTTATTTCAGTAATTCAACTCAAATTGTCAAACTCGTGTATTAAATAAATTCAATGCACACAGACTGAAGTAGTTTAAGTAAAATGTTTTTTTTATTGGTCTTATGGAGTATTCTAATTTGTATTTGTTGTGAATTGGTGGGTTTTTGTTAAATGTGAGCCAAAATCATCACAATTAAAAGAACCAAAGACTTAAACTACTTCAGTCTGTGTGCATTGAATTTATTTAATAAACGAGTTTCACAATTTGAGTTGAATTACTGAAATAAATGAACTTTTCCACGACATTCTAATTTATTGAGATGCACCTGTATAAGAAGAGGAGGAACAAGAGGTGGAGCTGGTCAGTGAGTTGGGTTTGAAGTTGAAGGGAGTTGGTGAAGTGTTGGATATTTCTGTGTACATATGTAACTGAAAACAGAAATTCTTATTTAGGTCCATCACACTTAAAATTTGGATTATTTAGATATGTAACATCTTTCAAACCTTATTGAGAAAGCTTTCTTCCATATTTGTCCAATCGTTCTCATTGTCATCTGCCACATCCACAGCAGATATGTCCACATCTCTGGAGTGCACTCAACAAGCCTAAAAACAGTCAGGGTCTTAGCATGAAATTATAAGACTTTATTATGTAAATTTTACTCCTTTTTGACATATATACCTTAAAAGCATGATGCACGCCATCTCCACCGGCAAAATGCACCACATTAGACAGGAAACCAGCTTCACTGAGAGAGGACATCTTATTTCTTCATTCTCCCTCACGCTAGCCTTACAAAACACTGGAGAGGGTGAAAAATAGATCATTTTTCCTCATATAATCTTCTAGATTTACTGGTTCATGTTGTCAGATGTAAGTTATTTGTCATCTTACATTTTTTGATGGACTCTGGAAGGATATTTTTCGAATTCCCAGTCACTGTTGGCTTGTTTTCACTAATGTATTTCTGAGATGATGGAATATTCTCCCATTCATCAATCAGGGACAACTCTGACAGCAGTGATGTGGGCTTCAGGAATTCTGGTAAGCAAAACAATATTAGATCCCAACAGCCACACAATTACCCCAAATATCATCTCAGGAATAGTGTAAGGCTACTCACCATTTTCTTTTAAAAAAAGGAAAGCATCCTTATATCCATTTTGACACATCTCAGCCAAGACCTTATGAAATGCCACAATAAGGTTATGTGGGCTTAAGTATGTTTTTGAAAATCAAGCGTTCAAAAATTTACCTCTGGTTCTGGAGGAAAAAATGCAATGACCACTCGGTGTGCGTTAATGAAGTTGATGTGAATGCTGACATTTTTGTAGTATATGTCATGGAAGTAAAAAGGGTTGCCACAAGGACTGATGTCACTCTCTCCGGAAAAAGGAGAGACTGTGATTGTGCTTCTTAGACTAGAGAAAGGCATGTTATCACTCAATGCTCCATCCACATACCTCTGAAAACAGATAATAGGGAAAACAAACTTTAAAAATGGTTGAACATTTAATTTAATTTACAACTAACAAAATAAAAGACACACTCAGTAATTATTTCTCTAATTAGAACGTTAAAATAATTAAAATAAATTAATATAATCTTAAAAAATATGTAACTAAAGATGTAATCTCGCAATAACCGACGTAGAAAAGCTGTTTAATTTTCATGGAGCGGGTCGCCTCATGTTGAGGTCACATGACCAGCTGAACATTTATTACGTTTTATGTCGGCAGCCCGTTTCCGGATTTCCAGATCCCCCCCCCCAGAATAAATTAATAAAGGCTCACTAATAGCACGGTTTTCCATGGCAACTGAAAACATTTGCTTATAGTTGTCAGTAATATCAAGATAATAAAGCTAGCAAAACATCAAAGCTAATAAGATATTAGTAAGAGCACATTTAATTGAAAAACTGACAATTATATTGCAAATGTATCACAAAATACAGTCAAAAGGCTGTGTTTGGCTACGTACTATTCCATGATAGCTTGGAGGTATCACACCACAGTACAGTGGATAAAAGCAGCTACAAATCAGAGCCTGCAGACAGGGAGCAAAGTGTAAATCATAAATCCTCATTAACACTTATCTATTTATCACGCAGGCAGCAAAATGTAGTTGAGTTCACCTGAATGAGGTCTTCTTTACTATCAAACTCAGACACTAACACATTTGTCCCATCTGACGCTCGTGTGAGTGACACAAACAGCCGTCCGTTGGCGAGTAGGTGGGCGTCATCGGGCAGATCTCGATTTAGGAAGTTTCGTACTATCTTCAGCAGGTTGAAGGAGGGATGCACAGCACCCAGTGTGCCTTTCCGAGCCTCTCGAGACATTTCCAGCAAATTTTCACAGCATTTGGCTTCAAAATGGAATTTCCTTTAGGATCACCAATATTAATCAATGTAATAGTCATCAATATGAATTAAAGATGGGGTTTTCTAGCTTTAATGAGTCTTCTGAAATATATTTGGATTTAAAACTACTATTCACTATCATTTAATTGTTTTTGAAAGATTTGTCTTTTGGATCCATGACAAATGCCTTCCACACACACTTTTGTTTTTTTGTCTTTTACAACTTGTGTGAAGTTTATAAACTAGAAATAATTATTGAAACTTACATGGAGACATTTGGCATGCTAATATTGCACCCATGAGAGCACCAGATGAAGCCCCACAAATCTTCTTCACCCTCTTAAGAAGAAACTGGGCCCGTTCGAATAAACAGCAATAGACTCCACAGTAGTAAGCCATCAGAAATCCACAGCCGGCAAAAGAGATATTCCATTCTTTAGCAGATTCCTGCATATTCTTCGACATATGAATCCCTGAGGTTATGCAGTGCAAGTGCGATACATTACAATGAAGGTCAGTCATTAGCACTGATAGTATCTGGCAACGTTCTACTATTGCGAAACAGAGTGTTGCAATCATGTACTGGAAAAACAAAATTGTGTGGTGAGGACATTGCTGTGATCATTGAGTGATTTTTTTTTTTTTTTTCAAAAAGCAGCAAAATGTAGTTGAGTTCACCTGAATGAGGTCTTCTTTACTATCAAACTCAGACACTAACACATTTGTCCCATCTGACGCTCGTGTGAGTGACACAAACAGCCGTCCGTTGGCGAGTAGGTGGGCGTCATCGGGCAGATCTCGATTTAGGAAGTTTCGTACTATCTTCAGCAGGTTGAAGGAGGGATGCACAGCACCCAGTGTGCCTTTCCGAGCCTCTCGAGACATTTCCAGCAAATTTTCACAGCATTTGGCTTCAAAATGGAATTTCCTTTAGGATCACCAATATTAATCAATGTAATAGTCATCAATATGAATTAAAGATGGGGTTTTCTAGCTTTAATGAGTCTTCTGAAATATATTTGGATTTAAAACTACTATTCACTATCATTTAATTGTTTTTGAAAGATTTGTCTTTTGGATCCATGACAAATGCCTTCCACACACACTTTTGTTTTTTTGTCTTTTACAACTTGTGTGAAGTTTATAAACTAGAAATAATTATTGAAACTTACATGGAGACATTTGGCATGCTAATATTGCACCCATGAGAGCACCAGATGAAGCCCCACAAATCTTCTTCACCCTCTTAAGAAGAAACTGGGCCCGTTCGAATAAACAGCAATAGACTCCACAGTAGTAAGCCATCAGAAATCCACAGCCGGCAAAAGAGATATTCCATTCTTTAGCAGATTCCTGCATATTCTTCGACATATGAATCCCTGAGGTTATGCAGTGCAAGTGCGATACATTACAATGAAGGTCAGTCATTAGCACTGATAGTATCTGGCAACGTTCTACTATTGCGAAACAGAGTGTTGCAATCATGTACTGGAAAAACAAAATTGTGTGGTGAGGACATTGCTGTGATCATTGAGTGATTTTTTTTTTTTTTGTCAAAACATTAGTGGTCTTGAAAGCATTGATTGTGTTTCGTACATTTTGTACATTTCAAGTACATTTCATGTTTGTGAGCAAAACTCACTGCCATAATACCATTAAATACTGGTTATTTGACTGGTTAGCTTCTTGCATAATTTTTTCAGTGAAAAATATGCCTGCATATAATATGATTTATTTTTTCAGAATTTATTTTGAATTGAATTATATATAAAATATAAAAGCTATAATATATCATTTCAAATAGTTTTTTAATTATAAATAATTATTAAATAATTACATCATTATTATATATTATAATCATATTCTCTTTCTGTATGAATATAAACAACACGAATTAAGGATTAGAATAATCAGTTTATTTTTTAATAAACTGATTCACATCAGTGTAGCTAAAGCAGTGCAGCATGACACTCAAAACTAATATACAAAGGAATCGGCAATCATTTAAGGAAAATGTGCAGAAAATCATTGTATGAAATCCTTCCAGAGAGGTTCTTGTCAAAAAAGGTGAAATGAAGAGAATTCTTCCTCTGACAGATTCACGCTGTACTGTCTCAGAACATAAAGAAACCATGCAAAAGGTTGCATGATTAAATACAGGACATGAACTTAAAATGTTGTTTAAGTAGAAAACAGTGACTTGTATCTTTCTGAAGTCCTGAAGAGAGATCTTTCCAGTGCGGTCTTTGTCAAAGGCGATTCATTTTTGCCTCATCTGACTCCAGAAGAGCTGGATAGGCCTGGAGATTCTCAGCATGGCTTCAATACACTGGCCACTAAGTGGGTTGGGACTCATCTGAAGGAGGAAGTCAGAAAATGCTGCGTGAGTATATTCACAATTCATCAACTATACTGGCCTATTCAGAACAACAGCAGGCAGTAATTCCAGTGAACTCACTGGTGTCCTGGGGAGCTGCAGTTTGAGTCTGTGGGATGAAGTGTTGACCTGAGGACCGAACATGAACATAAGAGAGACGTCCGCTGTTTTTGATGTCATATATTTGAAAGCCAGCTGCTCAAACTCAAGTGGACTCATTTCAATTTGGAGACCCTGGAATATCTCCGGACAACATCAATTTAAATTCACCATTTCCAAACAACAATGTGACAATCATAAAATACAACATATGATGTAAGGAACTACAATTACTGCACAAAAAGCAGGAAAATGAGATGTTTACATTATGTTACATTTATATTATGATTACTGTTCCACTTTTTGACCAATACATTTCCATGATTTTTTCCCATATTTCCTGTCGATTTTTATATTATTTTATAATAATTATACAAATTATATTTTATGCATTTATATGTATATGAATATATATATATATATAGAGAGAGAGAGAGAGAGAGAGAGAGATACTACAAATTAATTTACTTAAATTAAAATTATGATATATAAAATCATGATAATTCAGAGTGATTCGATAATAATTTATTATATTGTTATATTAAAATACATGAAAATTGCACTGTATTATATTATATTATACTTTAAAAAAAATCATTATAGTTCAGACATTATAGTTTGCTAATAAATCATTCAGAAAAAAAAAAAATTCAGAACAATAAAAAAAAAGAATTCCTTGAATTTCCCATGTTTTTAAAATTAATTTCATTTACTTTTCCAGGATTGGAAAATTCCCTAGTTTTTATGTGGATGAAAGGTGCTGTGACTGCTAAATAGAAAGATATTTGGCCTCAAAAATGTACTTAGGAGGAACATATCCACATCTATCTCTCCAGTCCTCTCAGGGTCCGCCTGCCTGCATCTCCTCTGGATGTGCCTCCAACAGTCCTTCATCTCCACATCCTCACAGTTCAGCAGTGGTGTGGACCTTCTGCTCGCTGTGGAGGGTCTCTGAAGCTGCTCTGAGACCGATGACTGTGGACAGCGATGGTGAGAAACAAAAGACATTAGAGACACTTGTAAAATCCAACGGAAAGAGAAGAAACTACCAATACTAGCAAATGAAGTAAATGTACCGCAGAGCGTTTAAAGGCACAGGGTGCTGTTTTGGGGCATCTGAGGGATGTTGGTCTTTCCAGTGTTGATCTTGGTAATGATTTAGTAACCTTTTCCAGGCCTTGCTGTTCTCCACTGAACTTTTTCAGGAATTCTCGATATTCCAGATTTCCAAAGCCATTAACTGGTAGCATTTTCCACAGGTTTTGAAACTGAAAGAGTTGGTTTATGTTTCAAGCTATTGAAGGAACTATTAAAGAAGCTCATGTGGTTCCGGAATTTACCTGTTCGTCGGTGAGCCTCATGAAGTGACGATCACAAATGGTCTTAAAATCCGTTTTGGAGATTGTGTTTATACTGGCATAGTCAAGGTCTACCATCTCCTTTGTTAGTGTACATGTGGGCCGACACAACCTCCTGTATCCGCCTCAAAATGTTGCTGATGACTAAAGGTCGGGGCTGATTAGGAAAGAGCATCTTATGGATTTTCTTCAGCCATTCATCTGCTGTCTGTTAGAGTTAAAGAAATAAATAGCGTTTTATTATATAACATATGCAACTAAGACCATTCTAAATTATGATACTCATATTGTGCAAAAAGTAAAAACTCAACCATAAAAAATTTCTCATAATTTCTCATGTTCCTAATCCAGGACATCAGCAAGAGCAGTGAACTGCTCATCTGTCAGATGGAAGTTCAGGCTCTCCAAAGGCGCAGCATAGATCTGCATAGATCTTCTCTGCTGATAAACCCTGTTCTGTTCTGCAGAGAGTTATCATTATTATGAATAGCTGTGATCTGATATGCACAATTGACAACTTTTTATCATCAAGTTTTTCTCCCTCTCAAACCTTACTTTATCAAAGTCCAGAAAGGCTTCTAGAAGAGACTGATTATCAAAAACATGTTGACGTAGTTTTAGTAGAATTGCTTCAGTACTGCATGTGTCTGGAGTTACTGGAACAGAATCTTTCCTGATTGAGACATTAAAAAATACATGAATAATCAAAGAAAAAATTTTTTTTTAGATGCACAGAATCCTTAAACATATTAAAACAGTGTGTCAAAATAATATTGATTTATAGGAGCCAAGCAATAACTTTATGGTCAACTTACTGTACAGCTATGTCATCTTTGAACAATCCAAGAAATATTCTCCATTGCACAGGCTCTGTGCTGCTCACTCCAAATCTGTGACAATAAATCAATAGATGAATTTCAGAATTGCATTCAGGGAGGTACATAAACGATATGTTAATATCTCATACCTGTTCAATAACTCCCTGAAGATATTATCATCCATGGGGAAGAGGAAATTACTGAGGACAGATCTGAGATCCTCTTAAGAGACAACCCCACTGTCTGTTATGTCAAATGCCTGCAGAGCTTTTTCAACAAGGCTATGATTCTTCTTTATCTGTAAATCAAAATAGAAAACTGATTTTAATTAAATTCTCATACATTTGAGATAAAAAAAAAAAAATCATCTCTGTGATACTCACTTTGCTCAAAAATTTGATCTGGACTTCATCCAAGTTGTCCCTGGATTTGCTTGAGAAAGCCCTTACGCTTGTCTTACTTTTAGGTCTTGTTGTAGCACGACTGACAGCATCCCAATTCAGTTCTAAAAGTAGTTGTAAATCAGAGTATATTTTATTCTGATTCAACTGTTTTAATTATTTATGTATTTTGGCGCCAAAATTAATAATAATTTTAATTTGTTTCATATAACTTTACCGAGTTGTATAGAACCTGGTGCAAAACACCAAGCTTCTCAAGAAACTCCTTGTATGATATTGTGTCAGAATTATTCACACTGTAATGTGACCATAGTCTAAAAGAAAAGACATATACACAAAACACTTAGCTTTCTAGTAAAAACAGTAATACATCAGGAGAGTTCCTTTAAATGGAAAAACCGGGACCTGTGGAATTCCAGCTGACTCATGGGAAAGCAGTATCCCTCTAGGACTTTACGCAGCTCATGTTGCTGTATCTGCCCAT